GTAGGCAATTGTACTTTCCCTGCATCATTAGCTGGCATAGTAGTACTAGATTGTAATAAACCTTCATCACTAATCATGTGATTAGTAGCACCTGTGTCTATGATCCATTTAAGAACATCATCATCTGACTTACAAGTTACATTACCTGCCCCTGCCATATGAGCACTTGGTTCAGTAATGTTGGACTTGTTTAACATGCGCAGAATTTGATTGTATTGATCCTGAGTGAATATAGGTGGTGTAAACTGTGGGGCAGCAGTCTGTTGGTGTTGTTGCTGTTGACCAAATGCAAATGTCTGCTGATTGCTAGCCACCTGTTGATCATAAGCATCAATACCATATTGGTTCCCAGTCACATTAGCCCGTCTCTTTGGTTTAAAATCTGGTGGAAAACCATTAAGTTTGTAACAGTTCTCCTTGAGATGTCCCTTCTTTTGGCAGTAGTTACACTTCATCAACTTGAAACATTCAGCTTTGGTATGCCCTTTCATGTTACAGAAATCACAGTGTGAATTATACTTCTTTTGATAATGCTGCCCTGTACCCTTACTACCATAAAGAGCAGTTGGCTCAATCCTCTCTGTCATTGCACAATGTCCTCTAGTTAGCATTTTCTGACTTTCATCTTGTATTACCATTGCATAAGCTTGATTTACTTTGGGCTCAGGATTCATCATCAAAATATGAGATCTGGCTTGACTGTATCCATCATTCAGTCCCATTAAGAATTGAAATAACTTTTGGCGCTCCAAGTATTGAATGTGTTCCCTAGATTGTTCAATCTCATAACAAGGAGGGGGAACTATAGAATCATGCTCATCCCAAAGGTCTTTCAACTTAGAGTAATACACAGAAACAGAGGAAACTCCTTGTGTTATAGTAGCAATTGCTTTATGTAAATGATATGCTCGAGAAGTGTTTACCTTATCGAATCTCTCCTTGAGATCCTTCCAAACCAACAAAGCATCAGAACGAAACAGAATTCCACTGAGTAGGTCTGCATTCACATTGCTCATTAACCATGAAACTACAATTGCATTGCACCTTTCCTACTGTTTTTGCAATTCTCCTTCAAAATCCTTCTTCGCAACAGATCCATCCACAAAACCTAGTTTATTTCTTCCTAAAAGTGCAACTTTCATAGCACGACTCCACAGTGTGTAATTTTCCATCCCAATCAGTTGGATTCCTACAGAGAGAGAACCTGGTGCATTTGAAGGATGTAAATAGAGTGGATGTGTATAATCGAGAGTTTGAGCCATAGAAATCACTCAATTTGTAAAGGATACTAATTGTAGTGTTGATACTAATAGTTAACCATTGTATAGTTAACTTAAGTTAGTTAAACCATAGTTAGTAGTAACCGTAGTTAGTTGAATATTAGTTGTATAAACATAGTGGGACCACTACTTGTAATAGTTAGTCGTCATTTTAACAGAAAATGATTTCTTCTGTTCCATTGCTTTCTTCTCCCTTTCTCTTCTACAATGGCAACCGCTACTTCTTCTCAATCTCATTGAATTGAGCAAAGTTTACATGGTATCAGAGCTTCTAGTGACTGAATTGAGGGATCTATCACGAGATTTGCAGTGAAGATCGAGGAATTTCAGTCCATGCATGTTCAAATTTGGTCGATTGTAGAAGATCGTTTGTAAAGCCTAAGTTTTTTTTGTTCAAATGGCGATTGATGATTCAACTAGCAGTACTCCAGACGGAGTAGACCTTTCGTACAACAAACAACTGATCCAAAATTATGAAATATTCGCGAAATACGTTGTTGTATAATGCTTAACTTTTACTAATGGCTCAAATGAGGGTCTAACAAAATATATCACAACTTCAAATAACCGTCCGTTTGATTTCTCCGTCAATTTATCTTAATGTTGGGAACTTTAGGCAGTATCTAAAGAATCATTAATTTTCTTCTCTCTTTTTTTCATATCTGAAAAAGAATCACTAATCATTATATGAAATGTTAGTCAAACTTAACTGTGACTTGCCTTTCTGTTATGAAACGGGTTATTCTCAAGCAGATCGGATACATGGCAGTTGGATTTTCAAAAAGGAATTTTTACCTCCTATAGCAAAGGTTAATACCTTATTTATTTTAAATAAATACCATTTAAAAAAATTATATTCTATAGATACCTTTTAAGGTTTATAGCAAAATATTTAATTTTGATTATCTCCTAACCGTAAGCCACTAAATACGCTAATCAGTTATACTATTTTCTTTCTCTCTCTACTTTAATACATCTCATTCTCTTCCCCCATCCCATTAAAACTTCCGTCTCCTCCTCCTTCCACCGGATTTGTGCAAAGCCCACTTCAGAGATGCTGATTTTGACCATGGAATTTCAGGGGATCTCAGGCTTCCCTTGAGTTTTTATATATAAAGAATTGCCCTCTGAGACGATCTTCTTCGTATAGTAGAATGTGAGACCAAATTGTTCTTCATCCAAATCTGCGATCCAAGATTGCTATGCTAAACTTACATGACAAAATAAATATTGAAGCTCAATTTCCTTGTCATTAACATTTGATTACCGGAGCATTGATGCCGCAATTTGTTCTTAGGCCCAGACAAGAGCAACTTGGGCTTTTCCTTGGCCACCATTGCTCGACAGCGGATTCGCCGGAAATTAGGTTTTGTTCTTGAAAACAGACACGAAGTTTGGGGCTAAACAACTTGATTTTCTGTTAATATATTTCAATGTATTTTCATTGTATTTATTGTCTTTTTTTTCATTGTAATTCAATGTATCTCGTTGTATTCCATGTATTTCATTGTATTCACTGTCTTTTTTTTCATTGTATTTTAATGTATCCTGCTGTATTCTATGTATTTTATCGTATTCACTGTCTCGCTATATGCCATGAATGTATTCATATATTTTTTTAATTAATATAATTTATGTATTTAGATGTATTATATAATTTCTCTGAAGATTGCTATATTTTTGGAGTATTTTTCGGTTGAGAATCTTTTTTATAACTGAAAATACAACTTTTGTGTGTTATAATTAAGTTTGTTGAGTTATATTAGGAGTCTATTATGTTAATTGATTCACTTTCCGTTTTAAAAACAGTGTAATCCCCTATTCACGCCGTGAATACAGTCGAATACAATAATCTGTCCAGCTGTAATCCCATGTTTCACTCCATGAATACAGTCGAATACACTCGAATACAACAACTGATTAGTTGGACTTCCCTGATTCACGCCTATTTTTGCTACTGTATTCATGAATACAATAGCTTAAAAACATCAAATACATCTTATACCCACAGAAAAGGTATCTATAATCCGTAATATAGCAAATGGTATCTATAGATGGCTAATTACTACTAAATGATAGTGCTTTATGAAAATTTCTCTGAAAATATCCCAATAGTAATTCTATGTCACGACCCAAACTCAACATGTCATGATGGCACCTATCACAGAACTGGGCAAGCCGACAATCACAAATACTACGCATTTTAAATTGAGACATGGCAAAATAAGCTTAAAAGTGAAAATCTCATAAATACCGATAAGAAATACT